TCAACTATTTTATCTTTGCTGATATTTAATAAAGATGCTACAGTATATCACAGAAGTGAGTACATCCCTCACATTTTATAAATATTTAAGTATATCTTTTCATGTGACAGCTGAAGAGACGACACTTGGCTACAATGTAAAGTAGTGAGTATACAGCTTGTATAACTGTAAATGTGCTGTTCCCTCAAAATAACACAACACCCAGCCATTAATGTCTAAACTGCTGGCAACAAAAGTGAGTATACCATTAAGTGATAACCCTAAACCTAACATTTATATTTTATTGTGCTCTACTAATTTAGTTGAAATGTTAATATATATTGCTAGTCCATGTATAATATGCCATGTGCTAATTAAATAAATATAATGGCCTAAGTGAAATAGGTATATTGGAAGAAATGTCCATTTGGGTTCAGTTCCACATGGGGAAAAAGACACGAAGCATGGAGGCTGCTTGGAAAGATGGTTTAATGGTAGGCAGGATCACCTGGCTTGAGCTCCTGAGCAGAACCGCATGGCTTCAGTTCCTGAGCAAAAAAGGGCAGAGATGCTGCAAGTGCCCTGGTTCTATGCCTTCTCCTGGACTTTGAACTTCCTGGGGCACAGGAAGAGTGTCCTGATTGGTTGCTGTCAGAGGTCATAGCTTTGTAGGTTGTGTGCTAAGTTTGGTTGAAACTTGGTGGGTGGTGCAATGAAGGGCAATGAGATGGGGTAGATCTTGGCTATGTAGAATAGGCTGCTTCAGGTCTTAATGGTTGACGAGAGAGGGGGGAGCAATTAAGTGAGTCTGTTTCCTGCCTAAAACATGTTTCTCTGGCTCAGGCCTTAATGGCCCAGTGACAAAGGTGGGGGGGTGAGTTTCTGCCTCTCTGAGTTTCTACTTCTCTTTTTTAGGGGAAATATTCTGCCCTTTTAATATTTCCTAAAATATTTCATTTTTCTAGGGGAGAGGTGGGTTTTAACTTCCTACAGGTAGATTAACTGGCATCTTTTTATTTCTAGACATAAAGTGGGGAAAAAATACAAATTCCTCTACTTAGAGAAAGAAGTTGTTTTGTGGTAATAAGTAATCTAGCTGAAAGATAACACACTGGGGAAGGGTGCTGTAATGGAGTCTTATTCCAAAGCATCAGATACAAAGCATCAAATAATTATTACTTCCTAAACAGACTCTGGAAACTTAAACTCATTCAGAATACAAAAGTATTCCCAGGCCATTTTTCAATCAGATACAAATTCCATTCCTACCTTTTTATGTGTTCTTCACAGCTGCTTTGTGCAATACACTTCTTCCTTATAAACACTGAACCAAAATCGGAACTGAGCTCTGTTTTTCCTTTGAGTTTAACTTTTCTGAAACTATTTCAGGTTATCTGTTCACACTTCCCTGGTATATTGGTTCCTCTTTCTATTCATATATATGAATAGATTTTCATATCTTCACACTTTTTATAAAGGCATGTTTGATTCTTTTTCTAACTTATTTTCATTATAATTATTTGCAATTGTGCTGTTATTCCTCCCTCCCTCTTAGCCTTAAGTTCCTATCCCCATTAGCTTCTCCTGCCATAGCATCCTATTACTCATATTACTTCGTTAAAGGATATATTTTGAAATTGAAAATATGTATCTAACCATATTGTTTTAGTTTCTTTTAACAGCTATAATTGCGGGGGTGGGTGGGGTGTTGCTTTGGAGTCAGTCTTGACTACTGGCCTGGACTGGTCCCTTCCTGGCAATATTTTTTTTAAACTGGTTTGCCAGTTTTTTCGTAGAGATAAGAGAGAGTAACTGCCCAGTCACGCTGCTGACTTTGTGCCAAAGGCTGAACTGAAAGTCATAGTTTTCTTTTTTCTTCTGTTTAACACCACACCAAACTGGCTCTCAACTTTGGAGTTACTTTTTCCCAAACTGTGGGCTTCCGTCACTTTTTTGACAATTTTATAAATTGTCCACTCTATAAATTAATAGAGTGGATGATCTTCTTCCTTCCTCCAACTTCTAAGAGCAAAGTAATTAGTAACAGAAATCATTTTGCAGACCTTGGTTGATTTCAGACTGCCAAGATCCACAGCTGGGATCTGGTTAGTACTAGAATGCAACATCAAAATTTCATGTTTGTAAACTAGATTGAGAACTAAATGGCAAACCATCTCTATATTATTGTCAAGAAAAAAAACCTGGACACATTATCAGGATTTGAATTTACCTCAAAGGAGATATTTATCTTATCACAATCCAATCATTTTAAAACAAAACAGGCACTCATGCCTTAAGTCATCTCCCAAATGGAGCACTGCAATGCACTTTACATGAGGCTGTCCTTGTAGAACATGCAGAAGCTGAAACTGATTCAAAATGCAGCAGTGCAAGCAAATTATGTGTGCTCGACTGATATTCCTCTATATTCCTCTACTCTGAGAGTTGCATTGATATTCCTCGACTGATATTCCTCTATATTCCTCTACTCTGAGAGTTGCATTGATTGCCACTGTGCTTCCAGTTTCAAGGTATTAGCAGAATAGATGATTAGAATAAGAGTTGGAAGAGACCTTGGAGGCCTTCTAGTCCAAGCCCCTGCTCAGGCAGGAAACCCTATACCCATGATGGCAAACCTGTGGCACGTGGAGCCATTTCTTAGGGCACGTGAGAAATTGCCCTGTCAGGTCCAGGGTGCATACATGCGCTGGCCAACTGATTTTGGCCTTCATTTTCGACCGGTTTTCTCACTCCAGAGAAAAACAGCCTTACGGGCAACCTGGAAGTCAATTCCCAAACTTCCGGTTTGTGTGTTGGGCTGTTCTTTGCCCCCTGAAGGCTTCAGGCTTCACTGAAGCCTCCAGAGGAAGAAAAATGGCCTTATGGACAACCCAGAAGTTCAGGAATGGACTTCCGGGTTGCCCAGAGGCCCGTTTTTCTCCCTCCGAAGCCTCTGGAGGGAAACAAATGGCCTTACGGGCAACCCAAGTCAGAAAACAGGCTGTTTCTGGCCTCTGGAGGGCCTGTGGGGGGTGGGGGAGGCTGTTTCCGCCCTCCCCTGGTCCCAGAAAGCCTCTGGAGCCTTTGCACACCAAAAGTGGGGGGAGAGCGGGGAGGCTGTGTGCATGACCCCCTGCTGTTCCCCCGCTCTTGGCACATGATGGGGAAAAGGTTAGCCATTACTGCCCTATACCATTTCAAAAAATGGTTGTCCAATCTCTTCTTAAAAACTTCCAGGGTTGGAGAGTTTACAACTTCTGGAGCAAGTTGTTCCACTAGTTAATTGTTCTGTCAGGAAATTTTTTTCTTAGTTCTAGGTTGCTTCTCTCTTTGATTAGTTTCCATCCATTGTTTCTTGTCCGGCCTTCGGGTGCTTTGGCGAATAGCTTGATTCCCTCTTCTTTATGGAGCCGAGGTGGCGCAGTGGTTAAATGCAGCACTGCAGGCTACTTCAGCTGACTGCAGTTCTGCAGTTCGGCTGTTCAAATCTCACCGGCTCAGGGTTGACTCAGCCTTCCATCCTTCCGAGGAAAATGAGGACCCGGGTTGTTGGGGGCAAGAGCCAAGGTGGCGCAGTGGTTAAATGCAGCACTGCAGGCTACTTCAGCTGACTGCAGTTCTGCAGTTCGGCTGTTCAAATCTCACCGGCTCAGGGTTGACTCAGCCTTCCATCCTTCCGAGGTGGGTAAAATGAGGACCCGGATTGTTGTTGGGGGCAATATGCTGACTCTGTAAACCGCTTAGAGAGGGCTGAAAGCCCTATGAAGCGGTATATAAGTCTAACTGCTATTGCTATTGCTATTTATTGCAACCTGTGTGATATTAGAACACTACTATCATTCACCTCTAGTCCTTCTTTTCATTAAACAAGACATACCCAATTCCAGCAACTGTTTTTCATATGTTTTAGCCTCCAGATTTATAGTATTTACCTATAAATCCATTCATGGCATGGGGCAGGGTATCTAAGGAAATGACTGTCCCGGATTGTGTCTACACATTCAGCAGGGGAGCCTCACCACGGATCCTGTGTATTAAAGAGTGCCATCTGGCCAGACCCAAGAAGGGAGTCTTTTACGCAATAGTCTCTTTGTATCATCATCTCCTTGAAGATTAGGCTACAATAGTACAAATCATTGCCAAAGTCTCTGAAGATGTGATTAAGTCACCAGACAGGACAGCAGGAGCATATGGCAGATCCTGTAAGTTGGCATGTTAAAATTTATGATTATGCTAATTGTGGATTTATTGTATTGTATTATTGTAACTCATTAGTCAGACTAATAATTGTCAATAATCTAAATTGAAATAAAAATAACACTATTAATGAAGCATCTCAAAGCCAGCTTAATATAATTAAGAGTTAGTCATTCAATTAATGTACTTTTTTTAAAAAGCTACCTTGCAAAAAGTTGGATTAGTCCTACATAAGCTTGTATACAAAATGCTTTGAGGTTTCAAACAGGTTCTACCATATCCAAAGGGGTAACTGAAGCAGCGGTTCAAAGAAAATTATTAAAGGTAAACAGACACAAGAGCCGGCCGTGACATGTTTCAATAAACCATTCACACAAGTTATTCATGAAACCACAAATGACAGCTCCCTCTGGAAGAATGGCTGTACTCAATAAAAAACTTCTCCCCTCACAGAAGATGCTTATCTCCACCCAATAACTCCTTTTTCTGGTCGAGAAGATCTGAGAAATCAGAACCGGTCATTTTCTTAAAATAATTTTCTATATATTATACTAAACCACTAATCGATAGACTCGGTTATCTGTAAAGTAGCGGTACCCCTCACTATATTACTTGAGTCCCAGGCAAGAAAGAAAGAAAAAACTCAACCTCCCACCAACTCTCGCCTGAGTCGATTTCAAATTACGCGACTGAGAGGCTTACTCAACGTACGGGCTCTGAGGGGAACCCGCGCGCAACCTCTTAGACCAGGCAGCCAATCCCAGGACCCATTTGAGTTTCCGCCGACCAATCAGAATACATTTTATTGGCATGTGGACAAAGCTGTCCGTTGTTTTGTGCGCTCTGTGGAGTTGGGTACGGTGAGCGTCGCGCGGATTGTTCTCTTCCCTTTGGTTTCCCCCCTCCCCCTTCATTCCGCTTTGTTGGCCGTTCCTTTTCTTGCTGCCTCGGGGAAGAGTCGGGAGTGTGGCAATGCCCGAGTTTTTGGCGGACCCGTCGGTGCTCACCAAGGAGAAGCTGAAGAGCGAACTGATTGCTAATAACGTGAGCCTGCCCGGAGGTGAGCAGCGTAAGGATGTTTATGTGCAGCTCTACCTTCAGCACCTCACCGCCCGCAACGTGTCTGGAGTCCCCGCGCAGCCGGATTTCTCCAGTGACGAGGAGAGGGAGTCGACCCCGGTTGCAGTCAGGAACAGAGGGGGTAGCGCTGCTGCCGTCGCTGTGGGCCGGGTAAGCGATTTGGCGATTCTTTTTTTTTCGCGAATTTCAAATGGAATTTTCGTTTTCTCTTCACGGCCTTCTCTCTTGATGGGGCGGCAGAGTTTTCCCGCTTTCTCCGAGGGGGCGGCGCGATGTCTTGTCACTGACTGAAGGGGTGGGGAGGGAAGAGAAACGGTGCTTGCGCGTGAGCAAAGCCCGACTCAACCGTCTTGGATTAGGCAGTCTATGTGGACTCTCGATGCATTTAAGCGGTCTGAAAAAAGGCAATTCAGGCCCTAATAGCATGTAATGGTGAAATGCATTCCCTAACAGACACCTGCCGCCCTTGTGCTTCTGTTGTACCGATGCTAATGTAGTCTTTACAGAATTTAAAATTTGTGCGCAGGAGCACGGTTTCACAGTCATTTTTATTTATGCCCTATCCGTCTCCATCAATATGCCCCCCCCACCGCATCTCATTGTAATTCCCATCACTTGGCTTATCGATACTGATAAGAAATGATAGGCCTTTCAGTGTATTATACTTGATAAAAATCAGGTTGAGGAAGGCTACTTTACTGTATAATTGTTCCTTTTGCATTCTCCACGTGTAAGATATGTACCTTGCCAATAGTTTCGTTGTTTATTACTGTATTTCTTCTTGTTTTGTTGATTATCTAATACGGGTATACGTACAAGAGTAAAAGCATCTTATATAAAATGTAATAATGCTTTTCAACTTAATCAGCAAAATAATTTAATTTTTAAAAAGATTTTAAGCATATTGGGAAAGGCCTTTCTTGCTAATCTTAACATGGTTCACAGTAGGAAAGATGGTTCCACAGCTAAAGCCTCAAGCCATTTGGCTTTAAAGGTCAAGAGTATCGTCTTCAATTGTGCCCTATAGAAAATTGATAGCCAGTGAAGATCTAAGTGTAAATTACTAAGTACAGCTATCTCAAGAAGAGTGGTACAGTACTTGGCATGCTCTTCACTATACTACTACAGGTAGCCCTCAATTTATGACCTCAGTTGAGCCAAAATTTCTATTAAGCGGGAAATTTATTAAGTTAATTTTGCCCCACTTTACAACCTTTCATGCCACCATTATTAAGTGAATCACTGCAGTTAAGTTAGTAGCAAGATTGTTTAGTGAATCTGGCTTTCCCATTGACTTTTCTTGTTGGAAGATCGCAAAAGGTAACCCTAGGACACTGTGACTGTCATAAGTATGAATCAGTTGCCAAGCATTTGAATTTTGATCATGTGACCATGGGGATACTGCAACAGTCATAAGTGAAAAATAACCAGTAATAACCAATAGTCAGTTTTTTCAGTGCAGTTGCACCTTTGAACGATCACTAAATGAACTGTTGTAAATTGAGGACTACCTGTACTTGCAAATTACTGAGTCATGGAGAGTTCCAAACTCAGCCTGTGTTTTTGAGTTGAGTGCAATATCCAGGTCTTTATCTCAACATACTCAAAAGCTAGCCTTTATCTGGTCTATTGAAATTAATTGAAGAGGAAGAAGAATTTGAATTTATCGGCTCCCAGAGACACTGAGATAATCTCTAGTATTTTATAGATTAGAAGTACTATGTGTGGATGCTTGCTGATTGGGGCTTCCATACCTACTACCCTGCTGTAAGAGTGGGCCTTGAGAAGGGGAGTAGTGGAAGCATATCTCAAGATTAGATGAGGAAAGGTTGAAGCAACTGTAGGTTCATCCCTGAATGATAGTTTATGAGCTGTGTGTAAATCCATTCTATCCTTTCATTTCAGATAATTAGTAATATCTGGATTCCTACGGAAATATCTTGAACATGATGTTAAAACTGTAATAGCTCCCAGTGTTACCAGCAACTGCAATAATATCTACCAATCACTGTCCTTGTTTAATCAGATTTGCTTCCATTTCTTGCTTCTAGATCTTCATTGTGGATTCCTTTTGTATAATGAACCGATTTTCTTGCATACCTAGTTTTGACCTCTTTTGTTTGACTAATGTTTGATTGTCTTTGGCTTGCAAGAAACGTATTGCTGCTTTGGTCATAAATGGGACAGAGCATGTTCATGATACCATCTTTCTGAAGTTCATTTAGCAAGTTCAGAGTGTTCTCCATTATTAAAATATTTACTGCATATTTAAAGGCAGTTTATAGTAAATTAGGCAATTAAAACAATTATCACACTTAACATATACATTACTCTCTTTTTTTTTTACAAATATACATAGTAAACAAAGCTACAACAAGAAAAAGCACAGGGAAAAACAGCATAGTGCAGAGATAATAAAAGTTAGCTTCCGAAAATAAAGATGGCCTATGCATATGTCACTTGAGAGGGTATTCTAAACTGGAGAGTAGCCAATAAGGGAAAAATGTGCTGCGTAGTCAGTGGTTGTAAAGGCTCTGAAAGTCATCTTACATTATTGGGAGGGACATGTAGGGAAAGATGTTACTTCAGATGCTGCGGTTCCAGGTTATGATGAATTACATTAAGATTAACACCTCAAATTCAAATCCGAAACAAAATGTATTCACAGTCTTCAAAAGCAGCCCCATTTATAGTGCATTACAGTAATCAAAACAAGTTACTGTAACAAGGCTGTCTCTAGTAAGATCATACTGGCATACCAGTCTAAGCTGGTAAAATGTGTTTCACACCAGATTATTTATATCTTTGGTGTCAAGGATACATCCATAAGTATCCCCAAAATGGGAAACTGATCCTTTGGAACAGTGTAACTTCATCCAGAACATAATGAATTACTCTACTATGAGCTGATTAACTATTTACTAACTAGTAATAAAATTAATTATTACTGTTGTCCCACTTGAGCAGAGTTTTTTCATTGACCATTGTCAATTGGCCCTTTTGCAATCTTTTTCAGCATATTCAGTAGAAAGGAAATGTAGAGCTGGTTGCAATTGGCATATGATAACATTTTCTCTAACCCTCCAAATGATCTTACTAGCAGGGTCATGAAGTTATGAAATAGCATGGGGAATAAAGTGGAAGCTTTTACAATTGAATATTGTAAATACTATAGAGTCAATGAGAAATCTCTTAATTGATGATAGAACCTAGTAATGACGTTTTATGCATTAAGTTCATTGTTTAGAATGGATATGGTGCTATCCCTCTTCTTAGGTTTGTTTATATGACACTGCCGGAAAAGAGTTTAGATAATTTAGAAAAGAAAGATAATGAGGCTTTAGGCACAGCGTTTAAGTAATCGAGAGCTTAAGTAGTATCAGTTCTTGCAGGTGAGAGTCATAGTACAAAAAGAGAGCACAGGGTCCTGGAATTGAACAACTAGTTATATAGATTTCAGCTTCTTCACATCTTTCATATATAGAAATGTAGCTCTGCCAAGGGGCAGATCCGATAAATTCCTTTTATTTAATCAGTTTTCATTTTAAATTCAATGAAACTAATGCACCATTTTTTAAATACAAAAACTATTTATGTCCCTTTACTGAATGTTCCAATTCTTTAGTTCATAAATTGTAACTTTGAAAATATCCTTTAATATTTGATACTGATAAGTTGTGCATTTAGTTTTGGACATCAAGTCCATCAAATGAAAATATCTCAGGTTTTTTAGAAGCATTCAAACTATCAGGTTTATATCGAACTTTTAAAAATATTGTTTTGAGTTTCTGGCAACTGTTGTAAATTAGGGAAGTAAAATTATACTTGACATCAAGAAAAATCTTTTAAGATAATCACAGCAAAGTAATTGATTTACAGTGTGTGATTACTGATGCCACCGCCAATTCTAGCAGATTATTTTCTTTTATCTTTCTGTTTCTCTTTGTCTTCTCTCTCTTTCACACATCAGAGAGCCTCTAAATAGAAGTCTTCCATAAAGTTAAATTTTCATTGGCCTCAATATCAAAATAAAGTCTACAGCCCAATAGGGCCCAAACACAGCTAATTATGGTCCCAGAACTGAAATTTTCTTTTCCTGAACTATGTGATGACAAAACAATTGCCTTAATGGAAATAGGTAAAAACTTTACATCAGGACCCATAAGCATTAATAATGCTAAATCTTCATTCCACATAAATATAAGCAGTGAAGTACCATATATTTTGCAGTTAAAGTCCACAGATAAGCAGATCCTCATTTTTTTAATCAAAATATTTTGAAAAAAATGTGCTGTCCACAGATAAGCTGTCATGTATTTTTCATGGTATTTTGGTTAAAAAGATGAGGTTATGCTTATCTGTGGATAGAGGTACATTTTTTTAAAATTACCAAATATTCTCATGGCTAAGCTTAACCTGATTTTGAGTATATCTTGGCAGGTAAAATTCTTAGCTGATCCATGACTATATATGCTGCTTGGGCAGGGGTTGGACTAGATGACCTGCAGTACAAGGTCCCTTTGAACTCTGTTAATCTGTATCTAAATACCATAAATGTATATTATATATACAGTACAAGGTCCCTTTGAACTCTGTTAATCTGTATCTAAATATTATAAATTTATATTAATATAATATATAATATAAATTTATGGTATTTAGATACAGATTAACAGAGTTCAAAGGGACATTGTACTGTAGGTCACCTAGTCCAACCCCTGCCCAAGCAGGATACCCTATACCATTTCTGACAAATGGCAGTCCAATCTCTTCTTAACAGCCTCCAGTGATAAAGCTCTCACAACTTTTGAAGGCAAGCTTTCCATTGGTTGATTGTTTTCACTGTGAGAAAATTTATCCGTATTTATTTATTTATTTATTTATTTATTTATTTATTTATTTATGGAAATTGGCTTTTCCATTCCATTTTTAGAAGAGCTGGTTGGAAGGTACTCAGATGGAAGATAGGTCATATCCAAAGATTTATGAAGCTGAAGCAGAAACATTTTTATCTATTTCCATTGAAGTCCTGGTAATTGTTTGGTCAACATATAGTACAGTGAAAGAAAGTTTCATTTCTGGGACCATACTCTGCAAAATGAGATCCAGAAGGTGCCGTGAAATATTTTGTACTTTGAACAAATTGGAGTCATCTAAAATTACTATGATTACACAGAGAACTTTCTAAAATACCTGAAAAACAGTTTTAACTAGTATTTTATGTGTCTTTCTCAGAAGGCAATCAAGGCTCTAGCTGTCATCCTTTCCTCTATAATAGATGGAGGGAGCTTTAGTTCATTATAGGAAAAGAGTAAAAGACAAGTTATCTAATTTAAGTGTATTTTTATTTTATTAGATTTAGCTATCACCTCTATGAAAACAACAATGGTGGCTCACAATATCAAAGAAAAATGTAAAAATATAATATAAACAAGGTAGCATCTGTCCAATTAAAACACCGCATATACAGAAACTTATCTAATGGGTCCACTCAACCCCAAAATCTAGGAGAATAGCAAGCTTTTTAAGGCTTTCCAAAACACCATCTCAGAGTGAAAGCCTTACAGATCTCTGAAAGTATCTCATTCCAGAGGACAAGCGTGCTTCCTGAGTCCAATATATGGCATTGTTTAATTAATGACTTCATGGATGAAAGCAGAAAACAATTTTCTCTTATGTCCCTCAGCACTTCTCCATCCACGGCATCGTTTGAGGGTAACTAGACCTTCCCACCGTGGCCCTCTAGTGCAGAAAAGGCCCAAGTCTCTTTCTGATGTTTGGAAATTAAGTTGAACAGTGACTAGATTTTAAAGAAACACTACTCCAGGAAAAGGAGAATTATTTATCTAAGCTAGAAAAAATAGAGGACAGTATTTTCAAATGTTTTTTGTATTCCTGTTTATTGAGATAGTATTTTCAATGTTCATCATACGCAGCTAGGTGGCAGCATTCACCTATATTTTCTTGATTCAAAAAAATTAAGCAGGAAAATTGTAAAATTCTCAGGTTGTATAGGCTGTAATTTTAAAAAATGAAACCCTGGAAGAGAAAAAATAATAAATAAGTTCTTATCTTTATAAAAAAATAATCTAAAATGTAATTTTTCTAATTTGCAGTTAATAATTTAGAGTACCTAAGGAATTCATGAATCCATGTACTGTAAAATAAGGGACACCTTGTGTTTTCAGTTTGTTACTTTTCTAAATGTGTTATTTAATTTGGAATAGTAATCTTTAAAAATTGATAAGAACTTGGAATAATTAACTAGTTACAGGTGATATACAAAAGATAATCCAATCATTATACATAAATTACTTCGAAGCAATGGGTTATAAGTAAATACAGGTAATCCTCAATTTTTGACTATAATGGAGCCTGTCCATTATGGTCACTCACTTAATGATTCCAACCCCCGAACCCCATTAAGTGGCTATGAGAGTATTTACCATATGTTTTGGAGTATAAGACCCACCGGAGTAAACAGACCCGTTTTGTTTTTTTGTTTTTGTTTTTTTCAAAAAGGCACGAATAGCCTTTAGAAGGCTTGTAGAGTGCTCCCGGGGGGGGGGGGGGGCAAAAAAAATGGCCCGTTTCTTTGTTCATTTCTGCTCTCCCCAGCCTCCAGGAGCTCTCTCAAAGCCTCCTAAAGGCTATGCACGGCCATTTTGGTGAAGGGGGCAGGATTTCGGGAGGCAAAAAATGCTGTATTCAGTGTATAAGATGCGCCCAGATTTTCACCCTCTTTTTTGAGGGAAAAAGGTGTGTCTTACACTCCAAAAAATATGGTGTGCAGCAAGGGGTCCCTGGGGGGGGGGCAGAATCTCAGAGATCACCTTTGGGAAGGAGAACCAGCGACTCTATCCCTTGGCTTCCCTATACATTATGGCCACTCCCAAAATGGCACCTGCTTCCAAGATGGCACCAAACAGCTCTGTATAGGAAGGCCACACAGCAGAGTGACTGCTTCCCAAAAGAGATCTACAGAAAAGATAAGTGGACTTAGCCATAATGGAAGTGGGGAGAAGAGTGTGGGACTCGGCAGATGTGAAGCAGGTTGAGGGTCTGAGGGTTGTAGTTTAACAATTATCTGTATTTGAGGAGAAAAGAACTGCATTTTTATTATAGAGAGGAGTGTAAAAAGTGTTTTCTTCAAATGAGAAAACTATCACATTTCAGAAGTTTTGCCAAAATCAGTGCATTAGCCTTTTCACAACCAAATCAAATTTGAATTGCTTTGGTTATTCCAATTTTTCCATTAAAAAAATTGTAGCAAGTAGAGTAATACTGGTACATATCAGCCCTCCTCCCCTCAATAGTCCCAGTGTTTCATATACCACTGACTCCTGACCATTAGCCAATTAGTTTTGTCCCTTTCCTCAGCTGCCACTGCTTCCAGTGTCGCAGTATAGTATATCCTATTAGTTCATCCTTTGACTCCTTATAAAATAGTCCCATTTCACTCCAGCATGGACCAGAATATCCAGGATATGAATTTTAATTCAGGGACAGTTAATCCAAAACCAGGTGTTCCATTCTTGGAACAATAGGTACATGGAATGCTTTGTAACTTTGCAAAAGAATGCATCAAATATATTAAATGGAGTTATGCATTTCATGGCTATGTTGTATTCTAAAAATCTTTATTTACATGTATATCTTAGCATTACAGTTTTATAATACTGTTAAAATATATATCTCTATAGAAAGCAACAAAGAAAACGGATAAGTCAAGGCTTGAACAGGATGATATAGATATAGCAGAACTCAGTAATGAAGAACTCAAAGAGCAACTCCTGAGATACGGTGTGAATCCAGGTCCTATTGTTGGTAAGCTAATATAATAAATGCTAATATATTTGTGTATGTATGAATGAATATGAATATAAAAACTGAAGACAAAATGTAGATGAAATAGTGATGACAATCTGCATTCCTTCAATATTTGAAATATCAGTAGACAAAGTAATTATGTTCTTTTGTGGATTATGATATATGATTGCATTCACTTTCTCAGTAATAATACTTGCCCAAATTCATGTTGTTAACTACTGAAACTAAGCTTGGCTTGCATCTGTATCATTGTGCTGATCATCCTATATGCTAATAAAGATTAGAAGTTTACAATAGGAAATAATTTATCCTTTCAGGTTATTTCACATATTGCTAAGAACTATTTTCAAATAGAGTAGAAGTATAAACGGCTTTGCAGAATCATTCACCAGGACTTAAATAAGAAAGTCTTGTTGATGAACATAGTATACAATTGTATTAAGGTACATTACGAATAATATGAAGTATACTATTTAACTACAGATGGCAAGTAACTATTTGCTAAACAAGTTAAAATGTTAGTTTTAGTAATTTATTATATGTACTGCATACCATATACTTTTTTTACTAGCTAGAGTTCTACACAACATACATAAGTGTGTTGAAGTAGGCTTTGCCTGGCCAGAGCATGTCAAAAAAATTCTTTTCTTTATCTTATATTCTGCTTTCTACATTATTCATTAACAGAATTTACATAATATAACATTTAAAATTTAAATATAAGTTAACAAATTATCCTTTAAAAAGATAGCAAAAGAAATGTATCTTGGCTGCACTTCTCAGATCAAAACTAACAACACAACTCCAAAAGTAGAGTATTTATAGCAATGGAAGCAGTGTAGAAACAATCACTCCCTTGTGTGCTAGATAAACAATATCCTGCCTATGAACCTATTCAGAATGGTCTCTCCTACAGCTATTAATACCAATGATGTCTCCTATATAGCTTAATTACTCCATATTGTTAATCCTAAACTTTATATGATTTGAAGATTAATAACAATAGTTTAAATTAAACCTGGTAAATGATTTCAGTGTAGGCTGTATATTTTTTGTAACTTGTACAGACTTGTACACTATTGTTGTATTTTGTATCAATTGTAACTGATTTCTGTTCTGGGATCATCCCATATAATGTATATTGCAGGAATTAGGATATTAAAGCAGGATTGACTATTGGCAATTATAGCTCATTCAAGAACAGCTGTAATTGAATTACGAGACATAATTCTGTCACTTTTGTCACTTGGGAATTCAGAAACAAAGTTTAAGGAGCATCTTCTAATAGAACACTTCCCCTTTCAGAGGTTCTGCAGTTTTGTTCAGAAAAGTTGAACTCCAGTCACAGAGCTAGTTTTCTACTAAGGAACAATATTTGTGTTTTAACTGGGTTTAATTTTAGTTTTTAGTTTGTTTGCCTACATCTAGCCCATTCGTGAACTTAGGTAATGTTTATAGGGTTGCTTTTTTGAAACTAAATAGTAATAAACTTCAGACCTGGGGCATCAGCATATAAACAAAGTCAATAGGGAAGGCAGATTCACTTAACATCCATGTTATTAACTTAACAACTGCAGTGATTCATTTAACTGGCAAAAAGGCTGTAAAATGGGGCAAAATTCACTTAACAACTGTCTGGCTTAGTAACAAACATTTTGGGCTTAATTGTGGTTGTAAATTGAGAACTACCTGTAATGGGTTTTATTTTGAAAGAGGAAATAAGGCATATATATATATATATATGCCTTATTTTGTATAAAACAATATTTCCTTGTGTACATGTACTATCTTCCTTCCATCATAAATCAATCCCTCTAGTTTGCTTCATACAAACTGCCATTTTGCAATTGAAATAATTAAATCCAAACATTTTTAATAAGAGTATATCTACTTTCTGTATTATAGGGTCATTTTTGTCTTTGTTACTATGTGTGACTTTAGTTGTCTGTCTTTTACTTTTATGTTCACTCTCTTTCCCAATATAGCTTTCTGTTTAAGATGACAGTTACTTTTCAAGTTCTTATTTCCTTTATAGCTTGTCTCATGTTTTTTCAGATCTACTGTGGCATTTTTTTAAAAATTTCAAAATAAAAATGGAAGGAGACAGGTTTTAACAGTTTTACATTAAAATACAGTTGCTACTATATTCATATTTTGATAAGTAAGATAGTAATATTATAAATGCACATTGAGGACTCTAAGTCTGAGTCATGTAACCAAATTTTCCTGCTCTGTTGCAGCTACGACAAGAAAGCTGTATGAGAAGAAGCTATTGAAACTGAAAGAACCATCCCAAGATCTAAGTCCTTTCATAGCTACACCAACATTTTCTTCATCAGCAGAAAACAATAAGCAGAATGGAAATGATGATTCTGACCAGTTCAGTGATAATGAAGAAGGTATAATAAAATACAAGATGACTAAATAGATTTAAAAATATAACATTTTTATTTTTTATCTTTTTGTATACAATGAGAGTACAAATATACTTGGCCTTAATATGTGCAGTGAGATTAGGATAGATATAGATATACATTCCACTACTTTATTTATGATGGACTATATTTAATAGCTATTCCTATCCATTGAAATAAATTAAAATTAATTATTTTTATAGACATCATTTTCAAAACTGCTTGTTTTTTGCCTTCAAATCATTAGGAGCAACATTGTGTTCCCTAGTTAATTTTTAAATGCAAGTTGTATTACTGTATTAGTACAGTCTTGTGTTTTCTTTAAAAAATAAATCTTACTTAGTAAAAAGCTTTTAAATAAGACTGATTTTTTTAAATATTCTCAGGGGTTAAGGTTACACACACACACACACACACACACACACACAGAATTCAAGATGCCACTTTCTTGAATTTTTCATTCAGATGTATTCCATTTAGAGCGCATCTTTTGTGAATTTAATCTATTACTATCAGTTTTCAATGTATTTTCTAAATTGGAAAAATAATTGAACAGTCTTAAAATATTCTAATAGCATTGATTAATAGTAGTGACATATTAGTTTGAAAAGAATAATATATTTATTTACAGATCCTAAAACAGAGTTCAGACTTGACCAGCGAGAACCACTGAAGAGTAAAACAAAAACTTTATTATCACTTAAACAAAGAAGAATTGCTGAAAATAATCAGGTACTACAATAATTTTTTTTAAAAGCCTGTTAAAATGGATATTTCAAAATGACATTTGAAAACTTTATATTTCTGGTGTAGGTAATATTTACTTCAAAAGAAAGCACACTTCTGATCCTTTAGAAAAAATTGAAATACAAAAAACTTATGGCAGATTGTGATAATTGCTAGCTAGCATTTCGATGTAATAAAGGAGACAATGAAGGGGAATTGTAAGTTTCTGAGCCCTACCAATATTTTTCATGCTGATTTTGAATAACTTTTCTTCCTAATTGTAATATAATAAACCTACAGGCACCAAACAAAATTTGTTCAAAATAAGGACAGTATTTGTGATCTAAACTAGCTTAATTTAATTCAATGTCATTCTCATTTAATAAAATCTAACGTGAACACACAGTTAAGAGGAAGAAGGGCTGTTTTAGCTGAAAAAAAATAGCAGCATTTTAATAGGATTGCAAAGACGTTCATAATGTAATGCTACTGCCAACCTAAATGCCAGGTAAAGAGATGAAGCAAATCAAGCGTTTTGAAATGTATCATGTAGATATGTTTATCTGAGGAAAACAATCAAGGAAATAAAAATAATTTCAAAAACTCAATTTGCCTCCTCCTCTAGTATCTTATTAGGAGAAAGGGATTATTTGAAATTTCCTTTTTTTCTGATTTATTTAATTTTTTTGAACCAGCCCTGTATTCAGCAGTAATGGTATATACTAACTAAGTTAGCCATGTTGCTATATAGTGAATAAAATAATATAATACATCAGGGATATGTTTTCAAAGTTGGCAGTCTAACAAAGAAACCCCAATTTTATGGCCTTAATACATTAAAAGGAAGGAAGATACTTTTCTATAAATAAAAAAAAGGAATTCTTTGAACATGTTTTCAAGAATGTTGGAAAAATCAGCCATATCATAACATTCTAGAAATACATGTTAGACATCTATAATTAGATTATTTTGGTTTCTGCCAAAATGTAAATATTAAGTATTCCTCTCTTAGTGATCCCAATTTGTATCAAGAACTCTATTGGTAAGCACTCTGGTCACTAAGCAGAATAATCACGACCACAACAGACACCATTTTCCATTCAGTCGTTAGGTGAGACACCATGGTCGTTAAGCAAGAAATATTGCAACTTGTGAGTTAACATTCTCTAGTAACTGCTTATTGGAAGCCAGTTGTGAAGCACAAATGCCAATCACTGCAGAATACTACAATAGTTGTAAAAGTGAGGATTGATCATAAAGTTGGAAGTTTTTTTTCCAATTGTAACTTCAAATGGTAGTTAAACAAAGTACTTGGTAAGAGAGGACTACTGTAATTAAAAATTCAGTATCAAGAAGAAAATATACCCTTTTTCTAAATGAATTACGCTGCTATAAAAAGTTTATTTGTAAAATGTTCATTAAAAATTAAAAGATATAGTTCAAACCAAATACGTGGTACTAATTTTTAAAGTTTAAATTTAGCTTGTGTAAAATATAACATATGGATATTTAGGAAACCTCCCAACATCTCAGAATTTTTTAATTATTAAATCCAGATAAAAGAATATTTCTTGTTCACCTTAACATACCAATATAGACTTCAAATAGTAATTTTCTATCTATTTGTCAGTCGTTCGGTAGACAGCCACATCTAATCTATAAATTCAGGGTTTACTGTCTGATCTATATAATAATTAGCTATAATTTGATTGGCCATTGTGCTATGCCCTAGAATCTGTTTCTGACTAGCAAATCTTATTAAGCTATCAGACAGATTTACCACTTGCAAGGTTATTCCCTCCTTTTCTAATCTTTACACTAAGAAATACAGTAATTTCCATAGAATGAAGGCTGCAGTCCCATTCAGCTTTAAGGGAAAAGGGATTTGCAATCATTACCAGTTAAATTTAAACTTCTAAATCTAAGTAGAATATGGATAAGACGCTGAATAGCAAATTTAAAATGTCGTATTGCTTGCTTCAGAGAGCTATTTAAAGAGCCTATATTAGTAAGGGCATATAAAGTGTCACAAGATCAGAATCCTTTATCTGAGATAGAAAAATAAGTACCAGTGCAAGAAATGTATGCATTTAATAAAAGAGAAAAAAGGAGTCGGATATTTAGATGCCATACATTTTAATTATCTAAAATGTCTTTCACATCAAAATATTCACTTACTGTTAATGGTATGTCATTAATATCTATCCTGTGTTCACTGTTTCTCTGTAATATGCTTTTTTACCCAACATAGGAACATAATATGATACATATCATGCACAATTTTCATGCAAAATGCTATGGCATTAGGTGGGATAATCTGATTTCAAGAAAGAGCATTCATATGTTTGCTAATATGTTTAATGCTTAAATATCCAAGGATGGCATTACTGAGACATTCTGGAGAAGTGGATCTTCAAAAAGTGGACTTCTTCAGGCAGTGTCTAGGGAATCTTCAAGAGTTTCAAGAAGAACACCAAGGAAAAGGGTGACGCAAGGCTATTTTTTAATTTAGACCTTTATTTTTGACATTATCAGAGCCCTAGTAACAGCTATACACTTATTTTGTTATGTTTTTGTTTTTAAACAAACAGGTTGAAACTACAGTTCCATTTCCTGTACATGATCCAGTAATATCAGAGAATACTCCCATAGCTGTAGTGGCTTCAAGCAACAAGACTCTAGTAAATATACTGAATTTTCATTAGGTGGTATTCTGTCATTTTCTTCTCATGGAAGAATTTTGAATAAACCTTTATTTCTTGGAAAAAAAGGTTTTTAAGTAAAACATTAGGCTACTATTCATCAGTCTAATGCAAACCAAGAGCAACTAAGTGGCAGGAGGAACAATATTCAGTTACTGTGGATCTTCTGAAAGTTTTTCCCCTGTGTTTCAAAAATTGTCTTTATATGTTACAGGGTAATACTTATAAATACTAAAAGCAACTTATCAGTTAAAAAACACTATATTGACCATTTAGGATAGTTAGTATTTCATGTGTAAGCTGCCTGGCTTGGTGATTAAGATTTTTGTTGTAACTTCCTCTGTTAATTCTGAGTCTGAACAATTTGAATTTCAGCAGGTTGTCAATAGGGTACCTGGAAATACCAAGCATGCCGATCCTATACTGTCAATCAGTGACTTCTCAGAATTGCCAAGAAGAACACCAAAGAAACCATTGATGTCAGCTGAAGTAAATGAATTAAATATAGATTGGTGGATAGAAAGGGGGGGAGGGTGAACTTATCTTTAATTAAAACTATGATAGCAGATATATTTGGGGACTTTTCTAGCCTCAGATTCCTTCTCAGGTTTTTTGTTTTTTTTTGTACGTATTGGGTATATACAGATCTGGAATATCTAACGTAAATAATCTGTTACCGGATCTAATTTAATCAGGATACCTAGAACATCTAAAGTAATTGAGATCTATTTTTTTAAGGAAATGTATCTCAGCCATGTGTGCTATTAAAGTAATTGAATATTCTACAGCAATAACTATTGTATACTTTGCTTTAAAATGGTTCTTTTAGTGCTTACATTTTTTCATAGGGAGGATAAAAAATGAAAAGTATTCATCATCCTTATCACCAGTAGCTGATCAATTCAATTAGAAGTGGTGAAAATATCTTTTTTAGGTTTTTATCACATTAATCTTTATAAAATAGCATTATTCTTCATCTTGAAGGAACAAAGGATATTTACTGAAGACATCTGGATTTATAATAAATTACTAGATATATAAATGTAACCAAATTTTGATCAACAGCTAAACCCCATGAAGGAGTCTTCTTAGATTTCATGGGTGTACTATTCGAAATGACACCGGAACATGGCTGCACTCTGCCTCTCCCCCTTATTTTCTTTAGTACAGCTTCTAATGAAATTTGGTAAGATTATCATTTTTTCATTTTCTAACTAGGTCATGGAGAAAATGTCTACAGAGGATACAAGATTAGAAAGAGATATTCTTAAAGAAATGTTTCCATATGAAGCATCAACACCCACAGGAATTAGGTACTTGTAGCTATTTTTTTGTTTTGTTTCTTCGTATGCATTAATATTTTTCAGGTTTGAGCCTGAAAAGACATTGGATTTGACAAGACAATATTTTTATTTCACTGTCTTATCAAGTCTTAAAAATAGGTGTTATGCAATGTTGTGCTAGTTTGCAAATTTTCTGCTTTTTAGTGGCAGTTTAAAAGGCTTGATTTTTCAGTGTTCTGTTTTCAGACTCTTTTAAAATTTCTTTACATGGTTAAAAAGACAACTGAAGAAGCAAAATAAGTGTGGTATTCTCAGTTCCTAAAATCAAGGTTACCAAGATTCATTTTAATTATCAAAATGTTTATTTGGAAAATGTATATGGATGCCCTCCTTAAATATATAATTCTAGTTTACTAATTAGTTTACATACATACATACATACATACATACATACATACATACATGGGTGTGTATGTGTGTATATATACAGTACTGTGCAAAAGTTTTAGGCGTGAAAAAATGCTGTAAACAAAGAATGCTTTCAGACATATAAATAATGATTGTTTATTTTTGTCAATTTTCAAAATGCAAAGTGAGCGAACAAAAGAAAAATCTAAATCAAATCAAAATTTGGTGTGACCACCCTTTGCCTTCAAAACAGCATCAATTCTCATAGGTGCACAAAGTCAGGGATTTTGCAGGATTATAGTCAGGTGTATGATCAACCAATTATACCAAACAGGTGCTAATGAGCATCAGTGTCACATGTAGGTTGACACCCAGTCATGAACTGAAACAGCAATAGCAACAGCTGTGTAGGAGGCTTAAAACTGGGTGAGGAACAGCCAAACTCTGCTACCAAGGTGAGGTTGTGAAAGAAAGATTGTGCTGTGCTCAATCTTGCCATGTCATGGCAAGATTGAGCACAGCAACAAGACACAAGGTAGTTATACTGCACCAACAAGGTCTCTCCCAGACAAAGATTTCAAAGCAGGCTGGGGTTTCAAGATGTACTGTTCAAGCTCTTTTGAAGAAGCACAAAGAAACAGGCAACGTTGAGGATCGTAGACCCAGTGGTCGGCCAAGGAAACTTAGTGCAGCAGATGAAAGACACATCAAGCTTATTACCCATCGAAATCGGAAGATGTCCAGCAGTGCCATCAGCTCAGAACTGGCAGAAACCAATGGGACCCAGGTATATCCATTATTGTCCAGAGAAGTCTGGCCAGAAGTAGTCTTTATGGAAGAGTTGCAGCCAAAAAGCCATACCTCTGACGTGGGAACAAGGCCAAGGGACTAAAGTATGCACAAAAACATAGGAACTGGGGTGCAGAAAAATGGCAGCAGGTGCTCTGGACTGATGAGTCAAAATTTGAAATATTTGGCTGTAGCAGAAGGCAGCAAGATTTTTCTTGCTGGCATATTTTAATTGCAAACAAGAAAATAATATTTCACAACAGGATTATTGCCTTTCTGTTTACAGTTCCCTAGTTCTCTCTCTGATTAGCAACTTTATGAATATAGAATGTATTGGCTCTTTGGCCTGATCAAGGAAGGCTTTTCTTAAATACCTCTGAAATTCTTTGCATGGAGAATATATTGTTTGACTATAAAACAGACTCATAAATTTGGCCAAAACTAGAATATTTTGATTGCTCCAAGTTTTGACTAAAGCAAAATCACAGGGGCTTTACAGGATAAGTACATAAACCTGGTGCACATCTCGTCTCTTTCTTCTTTATCCAATGCCCTGCTCAGTGATCTCTCTAGCAGGTTCATTTTCTTATCCTTTCAGTTACAAGTCTTAGTGTCAAGCACAGCAGATCCAATCAGCTAATCCCCCAAGCTTCTTATATCCCTTTAGCTAATGTAAGGATTTCCTATTTTCCTTTCTCAAACTCATATATTTTGGTTTGAACCTGGTGTGTCAAAAAACAGGTAATCTGAGAATAGAACATTTTGCATATCCCTAGTCATAATCTTAAAACTGACTTTCTTTTGGACAGTACTGCTATTCCTTTTATCCATGCCCAACTAGCCAACCTTGTTTCCTGCATCTGAAGACTACCTCTGTTTTGAAGTTAACACTGCATAAATAGGAACATGTCAGTATCCAAGAAATAATTCCTTTTAGCCATGTTATGCAGAAAAGGAGTCAGAAGCAGCAAAACAAAATTAAAAGTAGGAAACATAGCAATTGCACTTAGACTTACATACCACTTATATACCCTTTTTACCCACCTCGGGAGGATGGAAAAAGTTGAGTCAACCTTGAGCCGGTGAGATTTGAACTGCAGCTAGCAGTCAGCTGACGTAGCCTGCAATACTGCACTCTTACCACTGTGCCACCTCAGCTCTCATGTAAAACAATGTAAACATGTAAAACAAGACATTTAAGATTAGTTTACACTAACACCAATTACTGTACTCTTCCAGGCCTTTTTATTTTTTCTTGTTCTGTTTCATACATTGCTATTTTTAAAAATTCCTTACCTTCAATATTTATTTAAGGATACTCAGCTCTCAATTCCATATAAAGAAATGGGCAAGCAAGTTCATATGATATACGGTAATTTGTTTTAAATAATAAAAAACAAATGCTTTTTGGATGATATAATTATATAGATAATTAATGTTTTTTCCTTCCCAAGAATAACTACATCTAGCTTAGCCTCTTTTTCCCAGCAACAGCAATTATGATATAATTAACTATCAAATTTAGCAGAAAATTATCAAAACATACAAGTGTCCTATTTTGGAGCTTTTAGAGCCAGCAAGCTACTAGCTTGGACTAATAAGAATTTGAGCCTAATGAGATATCTGCTGAAGGAGTTTCCTCACAGTGCCCCTCCCAAGAAGCCACTCTGGCCTATCTTGCCTTGCAAGTTGGTATTACCTGACACCAGATCTCTTTTGGATAAGTACCATTGTGATTTTTTTAGTAAGTACTATAACAAGGTCCCTTTGTTGGGCTTCAGTTGCCTGGCCCAATTTGCTGAGAATGCAATCAGTATAGCGAGATTCTTATAAATAGGCATGCAACAATAAAGTAACCTTAATCAAGTCATGGTGTTGTTCCTTGTGATTGACAAACTTGTTTAATAAAAAATACCCCATACCAAATAATCATACAATTGCCAATGAGATACTTTTGAGATCACAAGCATGGATAAATTAGTTTTATATTTGGGATTCAAATTGGTAGCAGAGCAGTACTTATCAGCTACACATTAAATCATGTATCTGATTTCAGAACTATGACTGTTGCAGGAAGCTCCTTTGCCATGTTATCTTGAAAAAATATGCAGTACTTTTAATGAATCACTGACAGATACTATACTCATATTGTTATGCATTTCAAAACATATCCAAAATATTGCATATCTTTTGTACTTTTACTATATTGAGTCCAAATGTTACCCATCCACATTAGAACTTTTGAAATGTATGAGGTATTCTAGCACATTTTAATTTTAAACATATTACTTAATTTATAGTGCAAGCTGCCGCAGACCAATCAAAGGCGCTGCTGGTCGACCTATAGAGTTCAGTGATTACCGACTGGAAGAAAATTATTCATCGAAGTATATTCCTAAATATGTTGCCTCAGCAGAAGTCCAAAAAGAAAAAACAACAATTAAAAAACACTCCATTCCTTTGTGGATAAAATTTTTGCTCTTTTTCGTTGTTGCAATCTTTTTGGTTTTCGTCTATCAATCCATGGAAATCAACCAAGGAAATCCATTCTCCAAATTCCTTACGGCCGAGAATCCACAGAAAACAACAAATTGAGTTTTTCTTTCTGTGGCAATACAATTGGGTCTCCTATTTTTAATTATAGAGATGACTTCATCCTTTCTCATCTTGAAACTGAAAACTGGAATAAAACATGACAGTAAATGGACATCACCAACTTCTTTCAAAATTAGGAGATCACTGTGCCATAAGTAGTATCTTTGGATTTCTCTGGAACTCCTTGTAGGATTTATTTTTTTAATGTGAACTTCATTATGTTCATTTGAGAATGTATATTTGATTTTATAAACTTGGAAGTTCAAAATGGGCAGAAGTGATAGTAAAATGTGAAGATGTGTTTAAATGTTTTTACTTTAGGCTAAGATACTGTACTGAAATTTTCTTTACTTCATATGTTTTTGGGGGTGGAAAGATACCTTGATAAAAGGAAATGCATTTTTTAATGCATTACGTGAAAACTGCGGCTAAATACAGTAGTTTTAAGGGGCTTCAGCATTTTCTGTAGAATACGGTAATCTCAATGGTGAACTTATTGTATACATTTGTCTTAGTTTTAATTGTAATTATACTTGAACTTATCCTTAATTTTTTAACCATAGTTAACTATTTTAGTGCTTAATCTATAATTCCTATTCAAATTGACTATTGTTGTTTTAGAACAATAACTATTAGTATAATTTTTTGAAATAAAGCTTACATAAAATAAATTGGTTTACTTATTTTTACTTAACTAAATGTGAAATCATTTTTATCTGCAGACTTATTTCAAAAAAGTTACGTACCACAGCATGAATTACATTTTTAGATTTCATATTTTTCTATGGTATTTTATTTAAAACACTGATATTCCAAAACCTATAATTCTTATGTTATATAAAGGCCATTTGTTACACGCACACACAGACACATATGTGTGATGAACAAAAGTAACATGTTGCCCACCAACATGTTTAAACAATGCAATTATTTTGGTCCACCATGACTTGTCCCAAATTTCTTTTTCCAATTATATAACATTATTTTTTATTGTGGATTATTACATATCAAATGAATGTATCAATTTACAGACTATTCTATACAAAATTGCAATAAAGTTATTTTAAACCATAACTTTCACCCTCCTCTGATTGGTGTTCATGCACTCAAAAGTTTTTAAAATTTTATATAGAAACTCTTAAAATATATTTAACCTACCTGTAAGTCTTAATTTTAAAGTCTCATTAATCAAGAGTAATTCTGCACTCTTGGCAGCAGTACAGAAATTGTTTGGCATTGCCTTCTATCAACAACTTTTAGTGTAGCTTACAGCTGTGAGATTTCTTGGTGGTTTTTCATCCAGTCACAAGCCTGCAATGACCCTGCTTTGCTCTTTGAAATACAGGGTTTCTAGAAAATGCCATGTACGTAGGTATTTTGAATACCTAACCAGGTATTAATTCCAGTAATATGAAAACTCCGAGATACACAATATTATATCCATAGTATGCTATTTAATGTCCATATGACATTTGAAGTCCACGTGCTGCAAATACTCATACTAATATCTGAAAATTATACTTTGTAATTGCTTCCTACCTGCCCAGTTTATTTTTGCTATCTTTTAGTATCAAAACAATCTTATACTTAAACAGAATTCAATATTCTACATATAAATCATATTTTTCAATCTTTTAAGTACTGAGTCTAATATATCTAAAATATTTCAAACCATTGCTAGGTCCCTAATCAAACAATTATGTGAATTAGACAAATGTCAGATGACAACCTGAAATTAGATCCCTTATTAAGAACAATGCACAGATGTTAAACTTGCTCTCCCACTGAAAAATGGGCTTTTACTTAGTTATTACAGTACATATAGGAAGAATATATGTTTAATTTGAACCTGAAATCCTGAATGTACTGTCAATGGGGCTAATTTCGCATGAAATAATTTGTTTCAGAATATTTACAGACAATTTGCTATGAAATCAAAACATGCTTGAATTTTTGAATTGTGAAGAAAGTGTTAATGACACTGTAATTTCAACAGCTATGGAATTAGACTAGATGTAATGACAAAAGCCAGTAAACAGCCACTTATTTTTTTCAAAAGGTTATAAGGCAATTGTTTTCAAGTCTTTGAAAGTAAGAATAAAGATAATTTAGGTATATGCATGCTGTCTTTCAGATAATTAGAACATTTTCTTGTTTGGCAGTGCTAATATTTTTCCTTGTAAAGATTTCAAGAGTAGGAAGGGTTAGGATACTCTTCCATCTTCGTGGCATCTGAGCAGTGGTGGGTTTCAACTCCCGTTCCAACCGGTACAGTTGGAATGGGGCCAGTGGCGTTCTCATGGACGCGCACAGTGCATGCATGCATTCTAGTGCTTCTGGGATGAGGCGCAGCAGCGCAGAAGCTTTAAAACAGGTAAGGAGCGCGGTTGGGTATCTGGTGCTCTGAGCTGGCTCCGGTACGCCTGTACCGGGGTATACCGCCCACAATCCACCACTGCATCTGAGCCACAAAGATGGAAGAGTAGAATTGTCAAACATTTCCTAGATGACTGTTCACACCTGATCCTGCCTCCTACTTGGAGGTAATGCCTTGAAAATTCCTGTGGCAGTTTAATTTTACATGAATCTTTGTTTTGCTAGCCATTTGGCATCTGCAAATATAAAAGCAAAGGTAAAGCGTGTTAAGAAGTAAAATAGGCTAGTCTATTTTAGACTGAAAGATAAGAACTATTTATCAAGCAGTTCTTTGCCAAACAGCAAATGCTACTGCATCCCATTAAGCTGGATGTCATGTAGAACTGTCCAAGATAGGCCTGAGACTGCAGTCTGAGCTACAGACATGAAATTCTGCATGACAATTATAGTCCACATAATTATTAAGGCTGTAGTGACAGATGATCTTTCAATACATTTTCAAAACATTGTCGGCTTCATAAATGCCTGCACAGTAGTTGGAAACATGGATATTACTATGATCTATCTCCACATACGTACATCAATCAAGATGTTATATTCACATAGGTAGACAGGTACATTCCGCTATTCTCTTTCAGGGTAAGTAACACAAATAACACAAAAGTCATGTGTAAATGAATTTAAATCTAGTAAATTCATTCAAATAGTTTACAGCAATGTAGTTTATCCTTCACTCTAGCTGTCCATATCTTTCTACCTTCAAAATATAGTTCCTCAACATCTATACACAACTCCATGCATTGCTTTTGTACTTTACAGTACTTTTAAATTTCATCTAGTCATGAGTTTTTCTGCAATACTCTTCCTCTGAACCCATTTACCCTTTCATTTCAATATTTATTTTGCAATTCAATCATTTCTGTTCAATCAAACCACAACATATTTATGCTCAAATCAGTATAAATAGCATTCATTTATTCTTGACTAGTTTACCATGGCAATTGATTCATATTACTATGTGTGGGTAATCTAAAATCATATTCACAGTTTAAAATGTGGAAATTTA